AAAATGATTTTGAACAACGTCAAGGTCAATGAAATCATACAAAATGAATTTATGGAATATCAATTAAATGTATTTAAAACAAACATAATTTCAACATCCCAATAAGCAATAACATCCCAGTAAGTATAAATTCAACTATTTTAAATCAACTGTTTGAATAGCCAAATTAAAAGTTGTACGAGTGACAAAATCATTCAATAATATTCACATTTTATCATTTATATTATGTGTCAACTATCAAAGTCGCACTGTTAAGTATATTAAAATATACTTTTCATAAGATTAGATGTAAGATATAATTGTACGAAGGGAACTGAGGAACGACGATGTGTAAGACAATAAATCATACATACAGTGAAAAACGCTCTTTTTGTAGCACATCCTACATGTACATATCGGCAGCATTTTCCTTGCGATAGTAACTCCTAGTATTATTTATAATAGATATTTACATGAGACTGGGATGAAAAATAACTCAGACCAGTCTCAAGTCATTCCGCCTGCTGGACCGACCCGACTGACTTCAGAACGGCATGAATTCAGACCGAGATGAATGTAAACACAAATGCATTTCAGACCGGTCTCGGCTGTAACCTTGACATTGGAACAACACATGCTAACAAAAGCTATCTAAACAAGAAAATTCCCTGGCAAGAGGAATAAATTGAAAATTTTGTGATGTAAACATATTGACAATTTCAATTTTCATTCCGGTTTCACTTCGTCCCGGTCTCATGTAAACGGGACCTTAGAAACAGAACTTCCCTCGTGCATGGATCACGCAATCCTGCACGGAAAACCATTCGGTATTCCTTTATTATTACCCACCGAAAGCAGTTAACTAGGTTGAATTTCTAAAAGCGTAAACAAACGCTATAACTTAGAACTGGCATCAAGTAAAGGATGAGCAACGACCGCAGTTTCACTATTCTATTTAGTAAAAATCTACTACCCACCTACTATATATCGGTTTACCTACTGGAAACGGATGGTCAGATAATATCACTCTGTGTGTAAGGAACCCGTTATCCAAATTTGCGCTTCGGACTCCGGAATCCAGAGCACTGAATCCAGAATCCACACAGTGGGACCTGGAATCCAGTTTGTTAATATAATCCAGAATCCCGATAAGGGAATCCATTGACTTTTATGAGGATGGAATTCGCAATCCATTGTCATGATGCAGAAATCCATGAGTCAAGATCCATAATCCGAATATCATTATCTGGTATACGGCCAGGTTAATAACGTTAGAATTATCAATTTATTACAAATACAACTATACCAACCTGCCAAAATTTCAACAATATATACTGCATGAAAAGTAAAAGTATTTTTACGATTTCGTCCACAACTTCCAGAGTTTGACACGATGTATAAACTATTTGTGGTTAATGAAACCACGACTTCTGTGCTTGCATTTGAACCGCAATATGTGCCAAGCAACGGGGCAGCACCATTTGAACCATTATATATTCTCAGAAATGTATCATTACAACTTGGTATGGTCAGCTCTTTAAAGCTCAATGACACGTTGTATGTTTCAGCAAGCGTAATTAACCAGGAACAATACTGCGAGCGTGGATCCATCTCACTAACTGCAGCCTTATGTGATCTAAATGAACCACTAAGACCAGTCATTGTACGGCGGCACTCTGAAATACAATTAAAGGATCTTAAAAATCAAAGCTAAAATCTAGGCAGTATTATCAAAATTGTTATTAAGTCTTTGTTTTCAAAAAGTGACATCAACGTGTAACTTTACAAATTTGTATATAAAAAGGGCGCGTGAGCACTGATGAAGCACCGGGCTGATGAAGATCCGGGCTAACGGATGAAGATTAGCACTGATGAAGATCCGGGCTAACGGATCGAGAGCTTTGCAGTAATAAATTTACGTGATGTTTCCACAAACAAAACTATTATAAATTCTAAATTATTTACCATTAAAATGTAGCTACTTGTCAGTTATCTATTCTAATCTATGACTATGACTAGCATGTATGTTAGTTAAAAATAGTTAAATACAGACATCTGTTAAGTCTGTTAAGAAATGATTGTTTGTTAAGAAATATCTGGTACGTTTTAAAAACGATAGTTCTTTCATTATTTATCATATTATAGTATTGTCCAGTAAAGTATGATCCAGTAATTGGAATGTTAGATACTTCCATCGTCTTTTCATTGTTTTGAAAATCCCACTGTTCTCCATGCCATCACTCATTGTTCTGACTCAAATTTATTTCATAATATCATAATGTAATCTTAATCTCATAGCCAAAGAATTTCAACCTGGGTTGATACCATAGATATCTTATATACACTACATAGCGCATCTCTTTTAGTAAAATTGAAGCCCAGAATATTCCAGCGGTTACCCCCATTTGAATAGATGGCGGCCATGTTGAAGTTTACCACTCGCTAATAAACGCTTAAAAAACAACAACTTTCATCATTTGAATAGTTCGAAAATGTATTTGGAATAGGTTTAACTTAATGTTTAAGTTCCTTGTTTAAGAAATAGAAAACATACGAGTCTTCTCATTTCATGGGAATATCCTGAGTCTGCAATCACGGCTTCAATTTTTGAATTGCAGAATAATTAGATGCACTATCTAGTGTATATAAGATATCTATGGTTGATACTAGACAATTATCAGCCTTCAATATGAGCTCTGCCCAGAAATGCATGCACAATCAATTCAGACAGTGGTTTAAGCATATGTCATAAAAGATTATTAAACAGTTGGATGCTTTGAACTGATGTTTAAATCCTCCATCCTTAGCTACCGTACACGAGGTATACATTTTTTCAAATGCAATTTTTTCCCGATTGTAGAAAGCGTTATTTGAATGTTCGGTTGGTACTACGAACCGAGTTCTATTAACGTACCTTCATAGTAACAATAGTATTTCTTGTTTCCATCCAAAAACAAATGTTCCCCTTGCTGGTTATCTCTATTCCTCCTATTTTCTGTATCAAACACAATATACTCCAAGTAACTAAGTGCCCACTTCACCATCTGACATTTAGGAGTGTCAGTAGAGAAGGATGTTAATAAATAAAATGGTTGACTGACTGGCAGTTCAATTGAATCATACCAGTTACCATCAGTTTGACAGCAATAGTATATCTTCGTTTCTTCATCATATACACCATGTGGTAGAAATCCTCCGTGATTATTATTGTTGTTAGTATCTTCATCATCCCAGAACACCCAGCCTGATCTCATATCTTTCGGACACGTTCCACTCTTGTAAATGCAATATGAACCTGTCAAAACAAAAATACATTTTCGAGGGGAAATCATTCAAAAAATGTATACAACATGAAGAAATCATTTTGATTTGAAAAAAATCATTCTGATGGCATGAGGAATGAAGATATTATAAAATTATTCTGATGGCATGATGAATCAAGATATTATTATAAAATTATTCTGAAGGCATGAGAAATGACATGATGCATCATTCTGCTGACATGAGGGCTGGAGGTTCTCTTTTTTACAGGAACGACTGCAGTGAATATTTTGAGGCTTTAGTATTCTGTAAAGGACACTTAGCATAAGAATTGTGATTTGATAAAATCACCGCCCATGGTGGTCGGAAAGTTTCACTGACACTGTGTTTTCATTGTTTTGAAAATCCCATTGTTCTGTTCTCCTCCATGCCATTCAGTAACCCAATTTGCATCGAAATGCCTCTTGCAGAATCCATGAAGTTCATACTGTAACATATGGATGGCTGTATCATAGGTATCGTCAGTGTATGCATATAGAGAACCTTACCTTTAGGCCAAAACCTTGTTTGTGTTCCAGCATTTTGTTTCATGCAGAATTTCCTGTTTACATCATTTCTATTTCCAACTAATGTGACATCCATATGTGACCCACTAGATACTCTTGACCGACTACTGATACTCTTACCACTGTCATCCATATCCTGATACCTCCAGCCCTCACGCCACCCGAATTTCTTACCACCTGGACATCCTGATTTAGATCTAGGGAGACCATAACTACCACTTGGCCATTCATTACCTGAAAACATTAGAGCACATGTGCAGTACTACTGGTTAAATTAGAATAATAACGGCTTATTGACCGAGCGTGAGGTCGGATCTGTGAAATATCAGACCGAGGTTTTTATGACAAACAATTGGAAAATTAAAAAGCAAAAAAATTTTCTGTTTGCAAAGCAAAAATTTCCCGCCAGATAAACGACATCCGGGACACCGGTCCAGATACAGAAAATACGGACCACGGTCCGGATATGGGTTTTTACGGACCGCTTGTCAACCAATCAGAATAGCGAATTTTGAAAAGCCATATAATAATTTATATTACTATATTTGTTATATTCATTTTGAATATTTCAAAACGCTTTCGTCGTTTGTATTTTATCAATAAGACAACAAGCACGTTTGTATTTTATCAATAAGACAACAGCTGCTGTTATTGCTATAATAATGATTGTGCTGCCTGTTTTTTCCTTGACTGAATAAAGATAAGAAAACATTATAGTTATTTCTAACAACCAACTCAAAATGTTACTGAAGATAACTAAATTAACGCGACACTGCTAACAAACACATAATACCTTCCAAAACTATTTAAGGCATATTCTCTACTCTATTTCGTCAAGAATGGAAACCTGCTTCTTTGGGCTAGAACTTTAAAGGCCGAGACACGCCGGAATGGCAAGTGCAGTAGAAATTGTAGATGTCAGTGTCACCGTTCGAACTGGAACGAAGTCAAACCGGCCATAATACTAGGGAGATGCTAAGCATCATGGGGCGAGCCTGAGCCAGAGCAATGATAGCCAGCAACTATCATGCAACAATGATTATTAATGTCAACCGTTTTTGTTTTCGCACTTTAATTAATTAAACTATCATTGTTGCATGTAGTTTCGAAATTTCAAAAGCAAAACTCGTAGTATTATAAATGTTGGGAATTGTATTTCTATCCGTAATTATTTCTATCCATGTATAAGGAGGGGGGCAATGGGGGGGGGGTCTCGTCGCAAAATCACAAGTTCATTTTTAGATTTCACGAGTCACAAAAAACAAAATTTCATTTTCACGAATTTTAGAAACACAGAAGCGTATAAACAAAGTCTGAAACTATTTAAAGATTTTTTAGACAGCAGAAATCGATGTTAACACAGACACATTTTACTGACTTCAACATTAGAGCTTTTAAATAACTTTAATTAAACACGTTATTGAAATGACAATGTTTTCAATCTTTCATGCATGAAATTTGAAATAAATAATATAGAAATGGTCGAATGCATGGTTTTTGGCACGCGCGCTAAAAATAGCAGATGCATGTAAACAAAACATTTAATACATACAGAGCCAGAGATACAGAGCCGGATTGCAAAAACTTGGAAAAAAAAATTTTTCATAGTCTTAGAGAGAATAACAGAATATTCAGCCCAAATCAAATCGAAATCGGGCTTTGCATCAGAATTTGATCCGCAACTCACTCAGAAATCGAGTAAAGTAAAATTGCGATGGGCTTAATAATGCTGACCATTCCAATTGCCACTTGTTATTTGGCATGAAGAATATATTTCATCGCATGTCCCATTAAAAATTGTCAGCCGGTGAGAAGCGAAAGGCCGGTAAAATTTACTGTAAATCACTGTAGGACTGAAAGTTCCCAAAATAGCCGATGCGAGGCGAAAGGTGTACGGAAAATCCGTATATTATTGAACTAAACTCGTTAAAGATTAAAATAAAAACTATAATTGTACAAAAACAGAACAACAACTAAATTTCCATGTGCTCGCTATAAAAGACCCCGTGCAAAAGACCCCGGAGCTAAATCCCCGGGTAACTATAACGTATAATTTCATACACACTCCCCCCGATTAAATGACGCATGTCAGTTAATAATGTTAACAATGATCACAGTATAATGTATCTGCGATAACAAACAAGTACTTATCGTCCACGTTTGCTCTGCTGCTTCCTGGCTTCGATAGCTGCAACTCGTTCTGACCTTCTTACTGGAACACTTGTAGTTTCGTCAATGCGAGATCCCTCGACTGGATATACTTTCTGAACAGGTCGCTGCAACGTTGTTTCTTTTCCTTTGTTCCATATTCGGAGTGCAACTGCTCTAACCTGACCATCGTTTCCTTTGAAAAGTTTTTCGACCTTTCCCAATCTCCATAGATTCCTTGGAGTTTTCTCTTCGTACACGCAAACTATATCTCCTTCCTTGGGATTCGCCTTCGCACTTCTTCTGACTCCTTTGACACGATGATGTTCTCTAAGCTCTAACAAATACTCGCGACTCCATCTTTTCCAGAAATGTTCTAATAATTTCTTCATAGAAATATAAACATTTTTGGGATACCTCTTCTGGACATGAATCTCTGTAAACAGCGAATAAATGCCTTTGTAGATAGATCTGGAACCAATTCGAGATGTAATGCTCGTGACGAGGCACACGTAAATAGACAGATATACGTCTTAAAAACAGGTGATTTCGTACCTTTTGAGAAGATTGGTTTGGCATAAACGGGACCCGCGAAGTTCACACCGATTCGCGTGAAGGCAAAATCGTCAGAAACTCGAAAATCTGGTAATGATGGTTGAGGTGGTATTTGATAAGTTCCTCCTTCGTATCTCTTGCACGTAGTACATTTTGCAATAATCTTCTTGACAAATTGTCTTCCCTTCGCAATCCAATGTTCTGAACGAATTTCGCAAAGTGTTTCTCTTACACCATTGTGCATTACTCTCCTGTGACATTCTTCCACCAACAAGGTAAAAACCAATGATCATTGGGCAAGAAAACTGGATGTTTAGCAGAAAGTTCAATATTAGCATTGGATAATCTTCCACCACATCTCCAGATACCACAATTATCCTTGAATAGACCCAGTGATGCTTGAACTTGCTTGAAACTTTTGCTTGTTTGAAACGCTCCTTGTATGTGCTTATACCATATATACTTAGCTTCTGTTATTTCTTCAAGGGAAAGACGACTTAGATTTGGTTCAGTTCCGGCAACCTTTGTCCGAAGGTTTGCGATGAATCTTAGAACATAACTCGTAACTCTTAGCAGTTTACAAAGAGTGCTGTATCGTTCCTTTGGCAAAATGTTCTCTAACGATAATTGCGATTGCTTTTCTGTAACATTGTCATTGGCACATGACAAGCTGGCTGCACTAGTTGGTTTGGATTTGACTTCTCTCTCGCTTTGAA